ATAACTGGCAAAAAAAAAAAAAAAAAAAGCGCTTAAAGGGAATTTTGCCGTTCGTTTTGATGGTATCTGATTTTCCTTAAAAACTGGATCAGCACATGTAAGTTGGCTCAACAAGTAACACAAATATTACATCATGATACTTTTATTTCGCGTCGTGATTGAATTTCCTATTTTTGTTCTCACCCCGTTTTGAACCTAAAACGTTTGTACTGGCAACATTGAAAAGGTGACGCCTGTGGCAGGAATGGACTCGATCACTGTGTGAGAAAAACTCGTTCTTAAGTGATTGCACGATGTTTGATAACGTGCAATAAATGCCGTGCACGATCACTTCCGCAGGCGCTCCGCAGCATAAAAAAAATATACGCGAGATAAGTACTACTGCCTGCCAGCGTCCTCGTGCAACTTCGAAAGCGCGGGGAAATTTGGCCATCGCTCTCTTTCGTTGTTTTCTCAGAAGCTATTCTAAATTTACAGATGCTAAATATCATGTCGGCAGGACCAGTAAATTATGTTAGTTTCGGCTGCCAAAGTTGCGTTTGATTGCTTTGGTCTCCGTTGCAACGAGAGCCACCGGTACATTCGGGCTTAAGCTTGCGTGCCAAAAAAAAAAAAAATAGCGGGGGGGGGGGGGGGGGGGGGGGAGGGAGAGACGAAGGATTACTAGGAGCTACAGACAGACAGGAGGCTGGCTTACAACTGAAATTTAATAGGAAAAGAGCACGAAGGCCGCGAAACACTCGAAACAGCGCCTGTCCTGTTTACTTCTTGTCCTTGTTTCTGTTGCGCTATTTTATATGTTTCACTCGAACCATCCACTCCAACCACGTCACCAAACACCACGCACCTAGTGGTCGATATACTCGTGCTGATACAGGGCCACAGAGGGCGCACTGAGGCACGTGCCCTCCCTACGTCGTGATAGGTAAAATGCCTGTAAAATGCCTCCGTCATCTTTACGGCTTTACGCTGTCGTTCGAACTCGCCCAGATTTCTGCGTTTCTGAGTGCCAAGCTACGCCTTGGGTTGGCTGCCGTGCAGCACACGAAGCAACGACGTCTTGGGGATTCGCAGTCGTAATTCTAGGTACGACTGCCGGTCAATGGAGCAGCCGTGCTTCGTAGAAGGCATATGAAAACGTTTAAAAGGACACTACCACCCCCCCCCCCCCCCAAAAAAAAAAAAAAATCGTTTTTGTTTTTTTATATTTTTTGCTAGGCGATTTAATATGGTTGTCAGAAGACTATCCAATTAATATTTTGCTACAATGTCACGTACAATTTTATTCACCCCCCCCCCCCAAAAAAAAAAAAAAAAAAAACCACACCGCTCGAAACCGAAACCGAAACAGCTCAAAACCGAAAGAAACTAAACTGTGGAGGAAGAAGAAACGTAGTGGAGGAGAGAGTTGCCGGAAGTCACGTAACTATACCCAACCGTGTTTTTTTCGTTATTTTTATTTATTTTTTTTTTTTTTGGTTGCGCGAAGCAGACGAAAAACGCGCACGTCGCACGAAAAACGCAAAAGTGATGCGCTTCGTTCCGCCGAAATGTTTACACTTCGTGCCTAACGTTTGCGCTTTTTTCAAGCCCTTACCGATTCGTGCTCGTAAGACGAGCGATGTCTTCGGCCAAAAGAAGAGGCGACGACTCGGCTACGTCTTCGTGCAAATCAGCTTAGTAGTCGGGCGGGTCGGACGGAATACATCCTAATTGTTTGGTCGGTAAACGATTTCTCGTACGAAGCTAGACAGATACGCCAGTACCGTGAACAACAGTCCTTGCTTAGTAAGCTTCGTTAGACAGATGCGCCAGTACCGTGAACAACAGTACATTGCTTAGTAAGCTTCGTTCAGCTATCCAGCCCGCGAATTCCGGGATACGACGCCATGTTGAGAATTCTACAGACAATGCACAGAGTGCTTCCGGTTCTATGTGCAACTTTTTTTTTCTTCTTTAAATGAACGTATTTGCAGCCTTTTAGAAGCCACGAAAAAATTGGCATCATACTTCTTTTCCATTTTTTTAATATTGTGTGTGTGCCTTCGATGACCCACGACTGATTATATAGGGTGGTCCAAGTCAACGTTATTAGAACCAACTCAGTTCTGGAACTCCCCTCCGGAGGGGGGTCCCTTTGCATGGTGCCTGTGAGAGGGCGCGCGCTCCGCATTATTACTCGCTATCATCATCATTGACGGCGCGCTTGTGGCCGTTGCCATAGAGATCGTACATGGCCGTTGCATCTGGCCAACGTTGCATCTGGCCTACTGAGCTTACGGTTGTTCGTGGCGCTTTTTCTGACAGTAGCAGACGACTTTCAAATTGTTTCTGCTGCAGTTGGTAGTCATCGGCACATCTACTATTACAGTATGTACAAACTTGCCCTGATTGTAGCCACCGGATTGTGGCGCCGACGAATTTGGGTTGTTCGAAACGCTTCGCGCTGTCAGCACACACCCCGCTACTGAAGCCCTGTCGTCTGCGTCGCTGCGCGCCGTAGACCCTGGCAAGTTTCTTGGCCTTATTTTTTACAGAAAGAGAACTACGCTTTGTAATTTTACAAGAAAAAACCGACCTGTGATATACACCTTTGACGAAAAGTTTAGATTGCCACGTGCAGGCGTCGATTTTAAGGTCCTGGTGACTTGGACCAGTATGTCTATTCCATAAAGAACGGCACGTGACCACGGAGAAGAGAGTGAGCGCGACTGAAGCCGGCCAGTTCTCGTTTGGCGGTTTTCGGGCGGAAAGAAAACGAATTTCGAGCCACGAATTGTGTTCTGGGTAGTTGGGCTCTCATAAGTCAGGTACAAATAAAACCCTTGGCGAGCGTAAATAGCCAATCAATGTCCCTCCAAGGCGTAACTTGACACGCGAAATACGAACTTCGGATGTCCCGGCGGCTCGCAGCAGCATTTGGTCGTAACGCTGCCAAACGACCACAAAAGCAACTGCCTAAATAATGGCATGCAAGAAAAACCAGAAACAAAACGTAAAAAGTTTGGTCATTGCATGTAGCGCGCGAGCAGTTCAGAGGGCGATCAACGTGCAGGGTGATCCCGCGTTAATATTATCGACCTAAATTGGCGCGAAAAGAGTTTAGAGTAACACCGCCCGACATTCAACTGCGAGGGCAACTAAGAAAGCGGAATGGAAGGAAAGAGCGCGTCCTATGGTGCGGAAGTGGAAGGAAAGCAAGCCAATGCAAAGCAGGCACTCCTCCCCCTTCCCCCGTCCAGCATGAGCGCCCAAACGAGTTTCCCCCGACAGCTTCCTTTCTCTTTATTTTACTCGGCGGGACTATTAATAAAGCCGGGGTGCATCGGAGCTAATCCCCAAGGAGAGCCAGGCGGAATCTCCGGTTGATCCCGTGGCCTCGGGAGGCAGCCTATCATTAAATCTTGTTGAGCGCGCCCGAGCAGAGGCGAGGCAAGGGTCATTCCTGCACTGGGGCGAGAGGAGGGCTCATTTAAAAAAAATAGAGCGTCGCGAGGACACCACCCGCGCACCACGGCGACAACGACGCGGGGACCGAAAACACGGCGACGTCCGAGGACAGCCCGAACGCCCAGGCAACGGCGGCCGTCGAATGCTTCCTCTCGGAGCCGACGAGACTGACCTCTGACCCCAGCGCCGATACACCGCGCGCACCCTCCAAGCCGAACGCCGAAAGACAGAACGCGAGGCTGCTTGCCACCGTCGACTTGCTCGAGAGCGCGCGAGCGAAAAGCGTCGGAAAAAGGGGCTCGAAAATTAAAAGATCATTGTCGCCGCATCAGATAAGACTGGGACGAGCGTATACAGCCAACAGCCAGAAAGGAAGGACCGAGATTTATGGGGGAGGCGTCCACCGTGCCTCTCTTCCTGAGACATCCAGAAGGCAACCGGTCCTGCGTGCGCCCGAATCTCGGCGCCCGCCTGCTTTCCTCTGCGTTTCGAGGCCCCGCGCTCGAAGGATCGGTTGCAGATGCGGGGTCGCCTCTTTCCGCGCAGCTTATTAAAAGGCCTTCTTCGACTGGGCCGCCAGTAGGGCGAGCGGACGATATGGTACACGCGCGGCGGGGCGCGACAAGGTCATGTGGCCTTAGTCAACCATCCATCGCCATCGGTATACCTTGCTTTACTCTCGCTTTCTGTCCTTAACAGCCGACTGCGTTTTTTTTTTGTAGCAGTTTTATTTGCAAGAAAACATAAAACTAAACACGTAAGAAGAGAGCTAGTTGGGCCCGCCACCGCTAGGTGACCTCTTTGGAGTTGGCTTCAGAAAATTTTCGTCATCACCTGTTGTTCGTTCAAGCTCTTCCTTTTACCGCGATGTGGCTGGTTTATTAGGGAATTGTAGTAGACCGTTTCCGCAGCCCGCTAAGCACCCGGATAGCGCTCCGTAATCCCCCACAAGATCTTGAACTATGCAGATAAGGCTGACGGCGCGCATGCGCAGCTGCGGCGTTTTGATCACGGATACCGTACCGGAGGAGAACAACGGTCAACTACAATTCCCAATTGTTGTGGCGCGGAAGAGGAGGTTAATTTGAGGCGGAGGTTAATCTGACTTTGCGACGGTCTCGCCACTCTAACGCTACCAGCCAAAGAGGTCTTGCAGGTGGCAAATCGTAACACTGTCCCCACGCGGAAGCGCCAAATTAAGGTACTTTTGTAAAGCTAAATAAAACGAATCACCCGAAAATTATAAACAAAAATGCACTGAACTTATTATTTTTAACGAGAGAGAGAGAGAGAGAGAAAGAGAGAGAGCAACAGAGTTGCTTGCCAGCCCTCCGCCGCATTCGGGTTGCCACTGCCGTCTGCTATGCAGCCGGTTCCATACAGGATGTTCCCAGCAGTCCTTTCGGCGCCGCAGAGTGCGCTGCGCGCTACACGAAAGGTTTCCCCCGACCCGGAAGACTGGAGTTCCCACGAGGAGAAGTGTTTGGTTGCGGGAACGGCCGACTCTTAGCGACCGGGCGAGACTGCCTGTTTGAGCGGAGATCGCGTACCTTTGTTGAAGCGCAGGTCCACGCAGGAGGAGGCCGGCGACTCCGAGTCCGGCGAGCTGGGCGGCGTCTGGTCGTCGTGCGCGGGCGGGCTGCCGGCGCCCACGCTGCCCGCCCGGCCAGCGGGGCAGCTCCCGCGCTCTTTGTGCACCGACAGGTCCACGGGCTCCATCTGGATCGGGGCGCACTCCGCCTGGGAAGAACACAGGCGGGCACGCTCAGCGCCATCGCCACCACGGGTCCCATGACATATAGACATTTTCCACGGGGGCGCCGCCATCTTGAATTGTCGTCACTTCCAGTATGGGCGACGACAAAATAGTAAAACGTTTCAACCTCTAACCAGTAAAAAGTTGAGGGGAGCCAAATCGAGAATGTGTGACGGTTAGGTTTATGTCCCAAATGTCTTCTATTGGCGTGGCGACGGCAAAGTAATGTTTTCGCCCATACTGGAAGTGACGACATTTCAAGATGGCGGCGCCCTTGTGGAAAAGGTCTATAGGGCTACATTCCAGGAAATGTACACTCTATGCGACGTATGCTACTGCGAAAGGGAATTTATAGAACGTGTGATATTCAGGTGCATGCACGGGGCTTCGTCCCACCCTCTTGGGGTGGGGTGGGGCGGGGGGGTTGACTACGAATTTGGAGGGCGCACTGGGATTTGCAGACACGGATGGACGAATGGATGGGGAAAGAATTGGCGGTAGCTAAGAGGAGATAGGAAGATTGGTGGAATATTTCTAGAGAGGCGTGAAAATACAAAAAAAAAAAAAAATAAGCAATGCGAACACTTTAAAAAAAGGGGGCGGGGGGGGCGCGGTTGCACTAAAACAAAATTTATACAAATTAAAAAAAAATAAGGATGACAAACTGTTAGGCTATGTGGCGCAAGCTGTCGCCCGTTACAAAGGGTATAGACATTACCATCCATCCATCCATCCAGAGGCCCCCACGCACCGCTGCATAGGCTACGCTAGAGCCACTAAGTGAGCTACGCTTTAGAGTATCGGCATTCCGTTTCCCGATCTGTGCCAGTGGGCGCCGCCATCTTGATGCTCGGTGCAGAGCAGACGCGACTATCAATCGTCACAATTCAGAAATGTGACTTCCTCAGCTTAATATCCGGTGTTAGGAAGCTCATGTGAAACAGTTTTGCCTTGTAGCGAACTGTTTTTAGCATTTCTGGAGGACAGAAAGAGCGCTTCCTGCGATCTCAGATACAGCTTCAGATAACTTGGCAACCGTGATTTGAAGCACCGAGATGGCTAGAGTGTCGCTACTCTGAAGAGAGGCTTGTTTAGTGGCTCTAGACTAGGCTTCAGAGAAGCTTTAGCCATCTTGGTGCTCAAAGTAAGTCTTGCCACTTATCTGATTCTGAAATTGCAGGAAACGCTTTTCCGCGCTCGGGGAAGTGTTCATACCGCCGGCGACGGGGCAAGAGCCCGCCGCCCGAACTCATCGGGAAGTGGCACTTCGGAACCGTAACGATCGGCAGTTGCGCCCGTCCTGCACGGAGCACTAAAATGGCGGAGATCGCACGAAAACCGGGGAATGCCAATATTCTTAGCATAGCTAACTCTTTTCTTTTTTTTTTTTTTTTTTTTGCGGCTTTTTTTTTGTTTAATTATTACGGGCCCGAACCTCAAAGAGCGGAAAGTGGAATAAACCCAGCAGCTTTCTGACGCGTCCGTCGCCATCTCGAATGGCGGAACTTTCAGCATGTCGACATGTGATTAGAGAATTGGTTCACGTCTTGAAGCCCATTCATGCAGGAGTGTTTGCTTATGTTTTCTTATGGTACGTACTGCGTTGTGAGTAGGGTTCCGTGTTTTCGGTATATACCGATTAACATTGAAAATTAACCCCGGGGCGCTTTTCTCTGAATCGGTGAAAACCGACAAAACCCCAAATTTAAGATGTCCTATCTTGTTGACCCGGAACGTGGACACAGTGAACTGTCCTTGGGGTTGTTCCTTTTCGAAACCACATTCCTGGCCCAGTTCCCGTTTCTCCTCTTTACCAGTATTACTGGAGAAAATATTACAATTTATAACTTACAATATTTCTCCAATAATTTACAGTCGCTTTAAAACATAAGCTCGATAAACACCGATTACTTTCCGGTATTCAAATTAGACACCGAAAAACACAGATTCAAGGGGGAAAAGAAGCACCGATAAACAACCCCCAAATTTGGAGAAAAAGAAATTAAAAAAAAAAAAAAACGGAATCTTAGTTAAGTGTCACCGATACATCCCTCTTCTTCGTAAATAGGTGGCGTGAAAAGCTATTGCATGAACTGATTTCTATTCCTGATATAATGACATCATTAATAGCTCGATTTACTACGTAAATATGGCGGGAGCTGAAGAAAAACGCTGTGCAACCAACTCCATTGGCCTGCAGGTATACACTGTGGTTGCAAAGAACATGCACAAGAATTTATATCATGCATCTCAGCAAACACTAAAGCAATACAAAAAAGTCTAGCGAATAATCCAACGGCAGCATAAATATATATATATATATTTTTATTAAAAAACTGCACCTAATTTTACGTGTGCTACAAGATTCTACATGAAAGTTACAGCGCACAAGCGTGCGCCGCCGTGACCCACGGTAAAGAAGGGATGCAACGCGGTGACCTGCGGTGAGGTGGACGCAAGTTTTCTAACAAAATGTAAGCAAACGGAACTCTGTGTACCCCTCGTCATTCGCTTTTGTATTGCGTCGTCTATAGGTGGTATGATCAAAAAGCTCTGGGACTGATTTTGTAGCGTAAAAAGAGAGAGAGCAGCACAGCCACTGCTAATTGACTGGTGAGGGACCGAAAAAATCCGCCTGGTCCGGGTATCGAACCTGGTCCCTGGTAGCCTGGTCCGGGTTCGATACCCGGACCAGGCGGAGCAGCACAGCGATGCGCGCGCTGCAGTCAAAGGCTGGGGGATCATCCTCCGCCATTATGCCAAAGGGCGTCGCTCTGTGAACATTTGGAACTGGGCTACACGAATTTGTTTGACCACATGCACGAGTATAATGGCGATCTCTCCACAGACCGTGAACCGAAGCGAGAGCGAACATACATTTTACGTCAAATTCGGCAAGTCTAAAAACAGACCTCCGAGATGATTTATAAGGCTTACGTAAGAAAGTTGCAAGGTGTGCGAGGTGGTTTGAATGGCACTTGCGTCTCAAGAATGTCCGAACGTCACTGAAGTCAAGGAGAGGTCGGATAAGGTCGCCCTTCCGCTTTTCGTCTTCCAGCGATGTTTTGCCCTTCCTGAAGCGCGAGTGCCACTTAAAACACTTCGCAAAATTCACTTCTTTTTGATACAAGCCTGCTGAATCATTTCAAAGGTTTCTGTTTTATATTTGCCAAATTTGACGCAGAATTGATGTTTGCTCTCGCTTTGATTTACAGTCTATGGTAAAATCGCCGATACGCCCATGCACCACAAAAAAAAAAAAAAAATAAAGGAGATAAGCTTGCCAGAGAAAAGCTCTCCCACCTTTTGGGAGACCCATAGAAAAGGCTCACCTTGAATTCAGTTGTTAAGTAACGCGGTCGTTATAACTTTAGATAACTAGTGCAACCAAACCCACGGGCACCTCTCGCGTAGGTGGCGCACACTTCAAAGCCGGGCGCTCTATACTGCAGTCCTCATTCCCTTTTCATGCCAACCCTTTTCGCGCGACTGTTGCCGTATTTAATTCTGGCGTCGCCGCAATGAAGACAATATTAGCTTTCTTTATTTGACACTTAGAAGGATTCAGAACTGAAACCGTACCTTCTTAGACAAATGCTGAAATGGAAGCCTTGGACATAGCTTATGCATTGCCCGCTACTACATGAAGGTTAAGAAAATCTGTAAATATTCAGGAACTACTCACGCGGCAACCTATTACACTGGTTCTATTTTACCTCGGCTATCTTCTTCGATCTATTTTCGTCGCATCGCCCAGGGTGCGTATGATGTGCACTAAGAACAAATATCTGATCGTGATGAGAATAACCGCATGCACATATGACATCCAGACATGCTTCGACAGAGAGAACGTTTCTAGTGGAGTAAACGCTGGATAGACAAATTTGTACTAGCTTTTCTCCACATCCCCCAAAAGGTCGGAGTGCTTTGCTCAGCATCCGACGGTTTACCCCCGAGCTTTTCTCCGGTGACGTTTTCTACGTCGCCCCTTGATCGAACACTGGGCCGTGATTTTATAAAACACTGCAAGGTGTACAGTCCCACCAAACTTCCACAGCAAAATCTGCGCAACGTAAATCTGACCATAGGGAGTTTTCGAAGATCGTTTTTACCGTCCCCACAAGGCGCTCTGCTACCAGATCCTGCACTCTAGAGACAAGACTAGCAGCACGCATGCGCAGTTAAGGTGTCTTCGTTGCAGCGAATATAGCAGAGGGGAAAAATCAAACTGTCTACGAAACTTTCCCAGTCGAACTGAACCATTCCGGTAACCACATTTCCATTTCGGCGCCGATCGGATGCCGGCACCGAATCAAGCGATCAAGTGGTGCCCTTGCCCATCTTTTTCTTTTGTTTCTGCCGGGCAGAAGGGGAAATCGGAGCGGCGCCAACGAGAAATAAAGAGCTGTAGTCAGTTACACCCATCGTTCCAAGCGTCTGGCCGGTGCCATTATCAGCATAAAACGCTCGTCTTGAGATGTACAGAGGCTGCAATGCTGTGTCTTTGCAAACACTGTAACGATGTTTGCTTCTCCTAAACGCGCTTTCGTAAATAAAATAAAACACACACACACATATTACGTACGAATGCTTAAACAGCGGGTAGCTAGCCTGCTCTAAAATGGCGCCTGGCGTCTCCACAGTAGTAATAGGGAACACCACAAAAGAAAAATGTACTTGGGCCGCTGCTTTCCTTTATTTAAGTGAATGACCTGCCCAGCTTTATTCAGTTCACTGTAAGATTATATGTCGATGACTGTATATTGTATAGAAGGGCTGAAAGCCTGGAGGACTGTATGGTGCTAGATAATGACCTGATGCTGCTCGAAACATGGTGTCGTGAATGGCAGACGGAAATGAGCGTTTAAAAAGCTAAATATACGCACTTGTCGAACAAGCGTTCCTCTACACAGTTATCCATTCAATATTGCCATCGAAAACGTGTCTACGAGCAATCATCTTGAAATTCACTTCAAATATTTCA